TACACAAACAAGTTACCCTTTCTTTCTGTCCCTCAGGGCACTCAGCAGTTTTCTCCCTCTCAGCCTCAGAAAGGTGAAGAATCTCTGTACCCTGATCAGCTCACCCTATGCCAGCATTTGTTACTCAGGATGTACTTTCACATGCTCCAATTCCCACTTCTTTTCAGGTCTGCTCACTCTCTCTTCCCCACCCTCCAGGCTTTGACCCATTGAGGTGACTTTGTCTCCAGTTCCCTGCATATACTGAGGAGAGGGGCAAAAGTATCCCACACCACAGAGATTAATTTTGTCACAGCCTCGATGGTCTTTCCGGCCCTTTCCACACCAAACAGCATTCTCCCCATCGCACTATTGGCCCCTCAATACAAGGCCTTCCTGTTTCAACGTGTCTTGAGGCTGGACCTCAATTCCTGCTTCAGGGCTCAACAGTCCTTCTAGGCCACACCTGGGCTCAGTCCTTTGGCCCATCCATTTACATCACTATCCCCTCAGACCTGCTTTCTACCCTGTCCAGGTGCCCTTCCACTTCTTATCCAACCCTACTCCAGGCTCTTCCTGGCTAAGGCACCTGCATGACTCACTTAAAGGACTCCCTTGTCGGAGAAAGGAAGATCCTAGGCAACTCCTCTAATAGCAGGCATAACTTCCATCCTAATCACCTAATCATGTGCTCTCTGATCAAGGCATCACCTGGTGGTTTATTCACTTAAATCAAGGAAAAGTAGATATAGCTGATGCTAGGCCCAAACTCCCAAAAGGCTACTTCAGTCAAAAACAACCACTCTTTTAAACAGGGGTCTTATCGTGTAAGTTTAATACATATACAGCTGTGCAAAGCAGAGAACTGCATGTATAACACTGTCTCATGGTTGCAACTTTAGCTTCCACAAGTCTGTCCCTGATGTGTTCTAGTTCCTTTTAGTCCGTCATCTAAATGAATTTTCACTTTGCGCCTCCCATCTGCAGACCTCCAAGAGCTTTACTGATACAAATTAAATTAGGCTCCTACCCCCTTCTGAGCTGCAGGGAATTAGGTTCCCTATCATTAAAATGGGGGTGGTAATGAAGCAGAGAATGACAAAGTGACCTGCCTGAGGGTTGAGTTCCTGGCTCTGTAGAATGAGTGCCTGACTCCCTGAGCTGGATGGTAAGTGCCAGACATGCTTCTTCCTCAGTTCAGAAAGAAACAAGCCAGGGTGTTCAGAACTGGAGAGCAATTCTGTCTGTTTAACTTTGGAATGGAGAGATGTTTTTATTCTACTCCCCTCTAAAATGCTGTCATTATTGGTCTTCGGGGGAAATTCTGGCTTGTACCTCTTGGACACATAGCCTTGAGGGGAGAGAGTTGACACAAGGTCACCTCTGTGCTGTCTAAATCTTGTGCCTCCTCAGCAGGTAAAAAGCCTTCAGTGTAAGTTACAGCAGCCCCCAGCTGCTCTAACTCCAGACAGTCCTTCCTGAGCTACTTATAGTCTTCAGTAGATTGGATGATGGACCTGCCCCAGCATAACCCACTAAGCTGTTCTTTGGGCCTTCCTTTACCCTGTTAGCTATTTTCCTCCTCAAACAGTTTTCCCCGAAACATTAAAAATCAAAGTAGAACAGGGTGTAGAACTAACAGAGTGTTTGCAGCCAATCACCCCATTCACTGTGCTTGTGTGTTATAGCTGTCCATTTGTCTTGTGTATTTGAACCGTAATCTTGGGAGGAGCAAAGAATATCTACTTTGTTATATTGGCACAACAGGGCTCTGCGTTTGGTCCTGCACCACTATCATAATAAATAAACCCATGGTGTCAGCTCTGTGCTGCAGAAACTCTTGCCTTTCAAATTGACATTTGTTGTCCCCATCTGCTGCAGGAGTCATGTGCATGGTCCAGCAAGCACTCCCCACTTCTTAATGTTGTAAGCAAAGTCTTTGCTCTGAGTTCAAAGCTGTTGACTTGTGAAGAACTTTCATCACATGGCTTGTATTGGAGAACCAGGTAGTTACAGACCTTGCACTCTTTACATATTTTAATGTGTGTACTGGGGAGTTTCCAACTTGCTGCATCGTCATTTTGATGACAAGAACCTGCATTAAAACAACATTATTAGGGGTCCACAGTCAAGTGCTCACAACTTAGAATTAAGAAAGCCTGTGAACCTGCATGTGGTAATGATTGCATGCTGCTTTTCCACATACTAACAGTGAATCCATCTCCCACAAGATTCTGGTCCTGTCTCTTTGTCCAACTAGTTCTTCCCTCCTCCTCACATTTGTCTCCTGTCCCTGTTCTCCTTTTTTCCTGACACCATTCTCTGTCCAAGTTTTCTTGCACAGCTGAGCCCAGTCCCTTCAGCTCCCAGTTCATTTCCTCTGATCCTAATTCCCAGTTTCCCTTTTTACCCTCCACACCAAAAGACTCAAGTCCCAATCAATACCTTAAGAACCTATACATCCCCCTTCCAATCTCAACTCCTGTTCCCTTTTCATTTGATTGAGCTCGCTTGCTCCTTGTTGCTTGGACTTCCACAGGGGAAACTCAGGGAAGACAGAAGCTACAAAGGCCACCTGGCTGTCAAGTTTCATCTCCTTGTTTCAAAGCATGGGGGTGCTTAAACTATTCACAGAAAAGGCCGCTAGGTTCTCTGAACCTGAACCAAAGCTATATTGTCCCCTAGCTTCATTCTCAGAAATTGCTATTCGGGCTGAAAGTTTCTGGACTGGACTGGAAAATCTTATCCAAAAATTAACAGGGGTTTATAATAAATTATATGGATTTCCACCAAGCCTCTTTGAGTCGCACCTCACCAGCTTCTCACCTCCCCTAAAATGGGTGAAGTTCTTTATTATGAAAAACTCATAGTGGTACTTTGCATGTCCTGGAGTCAGTAACCTTATCAAGCAAAAGGCATGGCTCACAAAGCCATCTGATGTTTTTGTAAGAGTGCACTCTTGGACACTACCATCATATTGCAGCCCAAGAGCCCCAGCACAGTTAATGCCTCTGATCTAGTGAACAAGCTCTTATGGGCTGCAACTATGCAATTCTCTGTTAGGCCTGCACTTGCCCTTTGCATGACAAGACATGTTTTTTCTTGCTTATGTTATGAATGCAATGGCAAGGAAATTGGGCAAATTTCATATGCATTTGGCAGATTCATTTGCTTTTCAGATCTGAGGTGGCTGAGATCTGGGTTCAGTTGATGTGAGCTCCAAAATTTGGAAGAGAAAGAAGGATTAGTTAACTGACTATATTTTCTTTGGTTTCTCTCTGCTACACTCAAGCAGGAAAAGTTTTGAGGACATGGAGCAGTGAATTGCTTTTCTCCCCATCTTTTTATTACTTCTTGTATTTCCAATAGCAAAATATAAACCATTTCTTGCTCCTCCTCTTCCTGCCTAACATGCTCCCTCATGACTAGTTCTTGGGCAGTAGTCTGAAAATAGGGAAATAAGTACTCTGTTCCCAGTTCTGTCACTTGTCTGTGAAACACCCACCTAATTTTGCAAAGTGCTTTGAGATCAACAGGTGGGAAGAGCTAAATCCACACTAAATATTATTTATTGGAGCAGGGTAGAATATTTCCATATCAACAAAATGTTCAGGAAAGAAACAGGGGACGTAGTTATTTCTGGTTCTGTTTATTTGTAACTTCCATTTATTATTCTCTTACATGAAGCTGTGTCTTTGGCTGGAAAAGAGGACCCAGACAGGCGCATTTACCAATCTAAGAATCTTAATGGCTGAATCTTGCTGGCAGTGAGCTGTCCCTCAGCAGATGCCTGCTCTGGGTATACATATTTAGTATCCTGTCTGCTTCATCTTGATAAGGAGTGATTGTGGTTAACCAAACCCTCATGCTTTACAGAGATCAGGGTGACCCCTAGCAGCTCTTGCTGTTTACATTCTAATCAGCTTTTCAATACAATTGCACCATTATGCCCGTCCAAATCCCTTTCCAGTTTTTCATCAGAGCTTTGGGCTAGAAGTGCTGAGCCAGATTCTGATCCCAACATAAAACTGGAGTAACTGTTGCAACGCATGGGTTCCTCTTTTTACACCAGGGTAATCAAACTCAGAATCTGGGCCAGGGCTAACTTCCTATGGTACAGTTAAAATTTATCAGACACCCCCCCTCATTGTCTCCTGCTGTCACGCAAGACTCAAATAGTGGAAAAGTCTGGAGCATCTGAGTAACTGGTGAGTGCAACTCACCCAGCACCATCATGGGAGCTAGAAACACCTCATTTTGTTTGGCTAAGTTTTTCTGAACAAAAAAGTTACAGGGCCTCTGCTTCCTACCTCCAAACCGCTAAAGACACCCGTGACATAACACAGAATCCAGGAAAATCTATTCTTGGGGGGTGTCCAGCCTGGCTCTATAGAGATAAATACATCAGCTGCTCCATCCAAGCACAGGACCTTGGGGTGCTCAGGCAATTCAGACCCCTCCCTCAGCTAGCTATTAGTTATAATGCTCGTACATGGAACAATATTGTGTTTTTCATCTATAAAGTACCTGATGCAGGTGAGCAGGTGTCAAGCTCCTTGTTTTAGAGAGAGAAGTGACTTGGCCAAGGTCAACCAGGAAGCCAGTGGCAGAGCCAGGACTAAAACTCATGGTTCTAACGCTCAATCAACCCATTTCTTATTCTTTCTATAGTGTCATAAATATGCACTGAGGAAACTGGGTAAACATGAGTAACTGTTTGGGAACAGGTGAGGGAACAGTCATTGTTCAGGGTGAAATGGAGAAGGAAAGAACAAGGCTGGTTGGTATGGCGCTGTGGGTTCAGTAAAATAAGAGAAAGTAAGAAGTGTGGCAGCCTGACTCTAGACGCTGCCCTACGGCACAGCATGCAGTACACCTGAAAGGAAAATGACTGCAGTTAATTGTAGCTGAGCCATGTCAGGGTTTCCTTCTTCCCTTCCTTGCAGCCTGTCTGAATCCCTTGTGATGTGGGAAGCCTGGGCTTTTCAGAGGGCATGAATGAATTTCTCCTTTCTTTGCAGGCCTTTGCACTGAAGCCAAGTGAAGAACCTCATGATTGCACTATATATAACTCAACTCAGCTAAGATTTCACTAGGAAGGAAGTGATTCCTGCCCATCGGAAGGATTTGTCCACCAATACAAGACTCCTGAGCTTCACCGTCCTAGCCAACACCCGCCTGCAACTTCCACCTTTGTGTTCTGAGGCCAACACACAACGCCAGCTTTCATCTTTCTTCCCATCAAAACTTGCTTTGGAAATCATTCCCCAGCCATGTTCCAACGTCTCACCAGCCTCTTCTTCAGTGACAGCAGCACACCTGAGGGCCTTGAGGAACCAAAACTCTTTGTCTCTGAGGAGGAGGAAGAGGATGGGTGGCTCATTATTGACCTTCCAGGTGAGAGAACAAGGGGAGGGGTACATTTCTCCACATACCTAAGCATGAGTGAGCCACTTCAGATACAATCCAACCCTTCCCATTCCTGCCACTGCCCCTCTGACCCAACCTCTCCCTGAGCCCGCATGGCTCTTCAGAGTCTGGTTGGCCTCCTGCCCTGCACTTGCTGATTTTGGCCAGGGCGGGAAGCAGAAATGCTGAAAATACTACAAATTAGGCAGTTCCCTTGGTATTTTGGTCTGAGGAGGTAGAAATCTCCTGAGGAAGCTTCTCCTTTGAGGATCTCCAGCCTGATCCCACAGAGCCACAAGATTCAGACTGCCAAACATTTGACTTCGAAATTTACTGGCACTGATGTGAGACATTGCCAACCCCATCTCTGTTCAAGCCAGGCTGCCCAGCCTAACTGCTCCAGGTAGCACTCTGGGCTTACCCCTCCTGTATCAGAAACTACAGCCCCTGCTCCCAGACTGAATACACCTTGCTGTTGCTCTGCAGTGGGGCGTTCCCTCTCTTTGTTGGCTGAATAGCACTTCCCAGCTCCAGGGCAGCTTGAAAGGAGATAGATGGATAGCAGTAGTGGCAGCCTCAGAAGTGCTGTCACCTTGTCTTCAGAGGGTTGAGACTGCTCACCATCAGCCCTTTAACATTTGTTCAAAGACATGAATTGCTGGACCTGGGAATGAATAAACGGTATGAAAGTTGCCACATATGCCACTAGAAATCATGTGACATCTCAGTGTTTGAGGAGGTAGTGCTCCATGACATCAGGAAGCTTGTCAGCTTATGGTAGGAGTATCATCAGTTTATCACGCTTAGACAGGCTAATGGGAGAGGAGCTGAAATATCATGTAACACCCAAGTCCTGATTTTGCTTCCTTCGAAGGCAAAGGCCAAAATCCCACAGATTGCAATGACAGCTGGACTGGACCTCTAAATGCAGCGCTGCTCGTGTGCACTGCAGTCACTGAAATTCAAGATTAAGTACTATGTGGCTGAGCAAACAAGCTCAAAGACAGACCACTGGTAATGTTTTCTGGGAAGCTTTGTGGAGCTGCTGGGATAAGGAATATGGTTTCACATATAGGCTGCAGAGTCAAATCCATCGGAAGTCAGTGAACAGAAACACTTGCTGTTTGATTGCCTATCACAAATGTATTGAAGAGATGAGCGTGAGGCATCTTTATCCCATTTAGCTCTGACAGCAGCTAAAGAAACAATAGTAGTCATGCCAGCTGCCCTGGTTTGGTGCAGTCTATCCATGTCATAGCACAAACTGGCTGGCCCAAAACTGGCCATGGCCCAAATGGGCTGCTAGAGTGCCATCTTCTCCTTACTGCACTGCAACTCTGCCCAGAAATAAGTAACTGCAGCAGTGGAATGGTTTGGATCTTCTTCCTCTAGGGATAGTCAGTCTTTGTCCTTTCTGCTAAATTTAAAACCAAACTGGGCTAAAACAAGGATAAATAAAATCTGTTTTAGCTCTGTTAAGCCTTAATATCAACTATAACGCCAAGAAGACTGAGCTCCTACTGGTTATGCTTTTTGAGCTCCTACTGGTTATGCTTCCAATCTTGGGAGAAGGGTGGCCGAGGGGTTATAGTATAGGTCTAGGGTCTGGGGGGGTTTGGAATTCAAGTCCTGCCTCCACAGCACAGACTTCCTGTGGGACCTTGGCCAAGTCACTTATCTCCTCTGTGATGGTACAATGAGGACAATAGCATTTCCCTACTTCATGGCAGTTTTGTGAAGATTAAAGAACAAGGTGCACACACATTGTAGTGATGGGGACCATACAGGTACCTGAGGCAGGTAGTCTTGAGGTGCTAGGCATACCTGTTGGTATCTGTGCTACAGCTGCCCTGGGGAAAACTAGAGTCTCCATTCCTCTTGTGGTATAAGCACTCAGGACTCGGGGCTGGTTCCAGCCCCTACAGCTTACACTATTAGTCTGCAGCAGTTGGGGCTCGTACTGCCATTGAACCTGGTGTTTTCTATCTAAAAATCATCAGGGCTGTAAGTCCAGCACTGTTCAGTCTGTCTCTTTCTTGCTGACTGGCAAAGAGTTTTGAGGAGGCAGGAGGGACAAGGAACATTTCCCACAACCCAGGTGCTCTGCATATGAGAAGAACTGTGGATTTCCTTTGTAAGTTGTCCTGCCCTAGCCCCACATCCCTCCATTGGTTATAATATGACATACAGGGCCACTCTCAGGCTCTGGAGTCCAGTTCTCTCTGGCTATTACCTGGGTCTCCTACTTCCTGGGTAACTGCCCTGACCACTGGGTGTTTGCCTTTAACTTATATGAGAAACCTCAGCTTCCTCTTGAGACAAGGTTTTCCCCTTGCAGGACTTCTGTCCCTGACCCAAATTCCTTTCATCACAGAAAGCCTCTCAACTCAAATGCTCCTGTGCTGCAGATAATAGATCCACGCTGATCTGGCTGCAAGGAGGGAGTGGGGAGCTACCAGATGGTAGTGAATCTAAAGGCAGGATCCTCACATTTTTACTCTGTAGCTCCCAACAAGTTCTAAGTCTACAAACCAGCTCAGCCAGTAGATATGGGCTGGACCCACGGATCACAATAAAGCAACAGACTGAAGGAGCTTTTACACATTAGTCCTGCTCATCCCTGCAAGAGCGAACAGCTCATATTATGTGTTGAAGGCAGCAAGATCTAGCTTGGCTGCAGGAGAATCTAAAAGATGCTCAGAATATCTCCTACAAATAGATGTGCCTGGTGCTAGATTTCTCAGTGGACTTATGCCAGAAAACTGGCCACTTGCTTTTCTTGACTTGTTTGGAAGCTGTCTTGCACCACTCAGGGTCATGTCTCTCTGTCACTCCTTTTCTGCCAGGTGAGCTGCACTGAGGTCCCACCTGCACAGTACATGGAGCCAGGCAGGAGGAAGTAGATCTTAAAAGCATGCTGGCAGAGAAAGGGAGCAGAAGTTGCTGTACTGTTTTGTCCTTCCTTGGAATTCCACTGTGTAGTTCACAGCTGGGCTCGTTGATTCAGAGCAGAGGGCACATTTAGAATCTCCCACTGTTTTCCTTTAGCTTTGAAATCCATTGAGGCTTTAAGTTCCCAAAGCACCAGCAATGCTTGTTGAGTTACTGAACCTCCACATGGTGATGCAATGAGGAGGGCTGGCAATGGATCTTCACAGCAGAATTCTTTGGCTAAGTACAGACAGTCAAAAAGCCAGAGGCTGAATCGATTCAGTCTTTGCAGGTTAGTCTAAACTGTGCGGATTGAATGAATAAGCAATGAACAGACACTTACTTTTGACTTGTGAAATGCAGCCACATGCCTGCAATGGCTCAAGTCAGAAGCTGGGGGTGCTAGAGCAGGGTGCCAGCCACTGCCAAGGGAAAGGGAAGAGAGAAAACCTCCAAGGCTCCCCCCCCTCACTTCCCCCCCACCCCATCCCTGCTCCAGAGGAGGGGGTGTGGTCAGGCACCAGCCTACTGGAGGGTGAGGACCCCAGCCCAGGTCTGCCAGGGGTGCAGGGGAGTTCACTTAAACCAGTTTATGTGTAACTTCTGTCCCTAACCTTCTAGTCTATAACACTGCAGTCTGTTGGGCCTTGCTAATGGTTGGGCCACAAGGTGATCTACTAGGTATATGCCCAGCAAATAAACAAGCTTTAGTTCAAGCGCCCCCACCACCCTTTTGAAGCGTGGGGACACTGATACATGAGACACTACGGCGCTTTAATTAGACTGGCTCTCAGAGCCATTCTAATTACAGCACCACCCCCTTCCCCTCCCACCCTTGCAGCATGTGTAAAAGTTCCCTTGAACTCCTAACTTTTAGGTCCCTTTATTGAATTAGGCTTGCAATCCATATACAGCAGCATACAAGTACTAGAGGAGTTTGCTAGGTCACCAGGCTAAATACATCTTTGATCACACTGGCCACGGTGCAGGCCAGGGTGGGGGCCTCTCCCTAATCACAGCATCCTGCTGGAGCCTTGCCACGTCCCCAACATCGGCTCAGCACTATAAAAGGGAAGGGAGGGCTCACTCTAGCATCCCCCAGCATCTAACCTGAGCCACTGCAGGCATGTGCCTGCATTTCCCAAATCAAAAGTGAATTTCTATCCATTTGCAAATTGGTTCGATCTTTGCAGGTTAGACTAACCTGCAAAGATTGAATCAATTCAGACTCGGGCTTCTTGAATGTCTGTCCCTAGCCCAGATGTTTCAAGGCTTCCTTTCAGTGCAAGACCTCACCTCCTGCTATTAAGGATCCACAGCCCAGG